TTAATCCGCGGATTAACCAAATTCACACGTTATAATTCATCAGGTAGTTAATTCAGGAACACCTTTTATTGTGGGATATGTGAACAAGAAGGTTACTTCTCCCTTCAACTGAAATTAAAGGAACAGAACGTTACATTCCGAATTATTTTACAGAGGAATTTTATGGCTGCTTAAATGCATAAAAGGAAATGCAGCATCACAGCACATGTCGCCTTTGAATCCAGATGTAACAGGCATATCTATCTAGAGCAAACTTGATGATTAGATCCCAGAGGCGCTTTCCGTCATTAGCTGGATGCATCCATTGCGTTTATAATATAGTTTGCTTGGTTCTGAGGTACTATGATGTACTAAGAAGACCCACCACCAAGGCAATGGCCAGATAAAAGGGGCCTGAGCTGCGGCCAAAAAAAGAATGCGAGTAAATGTCTCAGTCAAGCCTCTGTAGTTAACACAAAGATAAAGGGAGGGGGAAAGAAGCTTCCTCAGACTTGCAAGATTCTGTTGCTATAGCCTTACCGTACAAGCAGTATAGATCTACATGGCACTGGTTTCCTAACCTGATGTACCTGGATTTTGACTTGGGTTTATCTTTTCTCTCTAGCAATATAAAGCCAAATTGCTTGTTCCAGGGTTGAGTCCTTCACGATCAGAGTCTCTAATTCAGCCTTTGCTATCCAGTCCCTCTCTGATGTGTTGTCCTTCTACTCCCGTAATCTAGCGGGCAACGTGTTCAATGAGACATGAGAGCTGAAGTCCAACACGTCCAGAGAGCAACGGAAGGGAAAGACTGCTCTAAAGGACATATTTAAGATACAGGGATTACCTTCAAGAATTATTGCAGAAGTCATTCGGTGAGTTCAGTAAGCAACGGGCACAATAGAGGTGCTTAGCTGGAATGTACCCTCAGAATGTTGTCTAGATTAGTTCTTTCAACCCAAAAACCTGAGGGTCATATATACACGTAGAGACACAGACACACTTCGCATCCATGTCACGCCCTTCACCAGATGGCATCTTTGGCTTTCTTTCTTCTTTGCTACAGTCTTCCTCTCAGAAATGGATACCCATCATAAACCAAAGATGTATCCAGAGAAGCTCCTTTAGAACCGTAAGAGCCAGCCTTGTCTTCTCTGTCCACCAGGCAGATGTCCTGCTGGCACCACCTACAGAAGATACGAGAAAGCCTTCTGTTTGTATGGTCTTCAAATTAAAATGGTTTCCTAGTTTCAGACCCTGTCTACCTCAGTTGCTTCCTGCTGCTCTGATTTAACGAACTGTTGCAAACTTGTGCATCTTGGAGACTGGTGCAGATCTGTGACAATCCACGGCCAATAAGGGTGTATAGCAGAAAGCTTTGATGGCATCTGGCTTGGCAGCTAGGTTCTTGAGCCTAATGACACATGCGTATCAGAGACCTCAGATAAACGTGAGCCAAGATTTTGGCTCATCCTTTTGACCTGCTGTAAAGCAAACGATCACATATCTTATCTCATCAGGACAGAGGTGAGTGATTTTCTCAGAATCCAGGACTGGAACTTGCTCTCACAACTAGTTAGAAGGCTGCCTGCGTCACTGGAAGGATGGACTGAGGCCTTTTGGAGACCAGGGCTCTGCTTGGGGGGAAATGGCAGGCGACTCCCTTTTCTCCCTAATTCCCAAAACTCTGAAATCTTGCCATCTAAATTTTGTCAAATTTCAGTAGAATACTTTTAGCCCTGAGAGGGTTTTAAGGGTGAAAAGGGGAGCCGCTGTTATCCCAGGTTTTCCTTCCCATTTCCATCCTTATTTTTCAAAGCGGGGGGAGGCAAGGGGAAAGCAGATTTGTGCCACCACAAACCACACCGAAGTTCAGGGGTGCTGGGGTGACCGCGTGCAGCCGACGCACTGTCCCTGCCTGCATGAAGAGGCTGTCAGCTGCTCTTTGCTTGGCCCCTTCGTTCATTTTTCCTCTCCAATCTCCCGCCAATTCTCTGGGCCTTCGGGAAGGTGTTTGTCCCAATCAAACTGCCCTGTCTCAATTTTCAGAGCAGCTGCTCTAGCCGTATTGGGGAACTGTGTTTCCAGCAGGGAGCCGTGCAATATTTTGGACTTCTCGGTCTTTGCTTTGCGAATGGTATTAGGTTTAATGGATACCTCTGAGCAGCATAGATATCTGTAGCTGAGGCACCAGACCCGGCAGCGTGCTCCAGTAGAAGGACTCCTGCAGGAATTAAATGCACATTCTATAGCATTTCTGATTCACCTTCCTAGTGCGTTATTCTAACGAGATCTACCCAGCAACCTGAATCATCCCAGCATATGGCTACTTCCACACCGCTGTGCACCCACCCCAACCGTCCCCCGAGCACCCCTTCACTCCCTCCCCCACCCGGCAGCAGCCAGTTACCTGCCTAAATCCCACTAACCTGGGAATCAGTTAGCGACGGCAACTGGGACTGCAGGGGTTGCCGTCGCTAAGTGATGCGGTTGTACTTTACAAACGCGTTGCTTAGCAACGGAAATTCCAGTCCCAATTGTCATCGTAACGTGGCCATTCCCTGTATGAAGTGCACAGGTTTCTGGTTAGCCACTGCTCTCTGATGTCAGACTAATTAGCTTGATTGCCACCAGATATGGGGCTTGGGGCTGTTCTGTTTCCTGCTTATTCCATCTTTCTAACCAGAGCCTCTTTCTTCGTGGTTGTATTGTGGTAGAATCTTTGTCTTTTTTTAAGCATTACGTATGAACTAACACAGCTGGGTTGTTTCAGATGATTACTGTTCCATGTCTTCCTGAGCAACACTCAACAATGAATCCTAAACGATTTCCTGGTAAGCAGGCAACAGATTCTGAAACAATTCTTTCGTTACCTGCATAGATCCGTGCCAGACTATAGGCAAAGTCTCTTCCTGCAAGCTGCATCTCAGCTTCTCCCTCCGAGTCCATTCTTGAAACAAGCCGCTTGAGTTGTTGTAGATTATTCTGAACTACTTGCACAGAAGGCTGCAGTTCAGACAGTCGGGCAGCCGCCTCCAACTTGGCCTGCAAGGAAACCACCAAGTCACAGAGCAAACGTGCATAACCCAGAGTATTTCTGGCCAAGCAAAGACATCACTCAGCTGCTGCTGCCGCTTCTCTGAAGATCGGATTCTCTTTTTTCCCCCCTAAGACTGTTGCAGTGAAGACAAGGAAAAGTTTAGTGGCACCTTACAATTAATTTATGCCATAGACACTTGTAGACCAGGGAAGAGATGCACAGTGTTTCTCAAGCTAAGGACTGCTCTGGTCTTTTGAGGGGGGCATATCCAAAAGGAGGGGATAGGGCAAGTAAAAAAAAGGGGGTGGCTTTCACAGATGCTGTTCTGTGGGCCTGGCAGAACGTTTCACAGGTGTGCTTTGGTTGCAAAAGATATAGTTAAAATGGGTAGTTACATCTGCCAAGAAGAATACCAAACAAATCCTCAACCCCACAGCATAGTAATGCATGTTCCCCTTTTAATGTCAGTGCATATTCCAGTGACTACACATGGGCTGCAACTCAACCTTTGCG